GTAGAAAGTACCTACAATATAGATCTGATGGATGCGGTGAGCGTCCGTCTACTACGTACCTAGGTATGCACGTACATAGGTAGTAGGTAGGTAGATGTGCAGCAACTCTGCAGATGCAAAAGCCAGACAAACAAACATGCATGTTGGATCACGGTTGACCCCTGCCCCCTCCACCCCTCCCCCGGTCAAGTGGCTGCACAACGTAGCATGCGCCAGAAACAAGTCGCAGCGACGGTGATCCGTGTAGTCAAGTCTGGAGAATTCGACGGGTGCTGATTAAGTGCTTAACAACACATCTGGGCATGATGGATAAGCCTTACGAATAGGTAGTTAGGACATTGGTACGGCGTGTAGTATACGGCACTTGTGGAGTGCTAGTGCTATACTACCTATACATCGTACAATGCTACCAGGTAGGTAGGTGTGTACCTACCTACCCAGGTAGGCAGTGCACACAATGTCTAAGTTCATACATACAGACTGCTGCTAGCTCTACCCAGACCTTTTGCAAAGTGTATTTGGAGAGAACGATTGTCGAGAGTTTTTGGATTTCGGGTTAAACCGAGGGCTGCCGACACAGATCAGACACAATCCCAAACCTTGCGCGTATAACAGACGGTAGGTCGTCGATACATAGTGTGTGTGCATTTGTCTCGTCTCTCTGCGGGCTGTAATTCCAACTTCATGCATGCTCGCTCGGTCTAGACGGTGAACATCAACTGTGCAGGGCAGCGCAGTGCGCAGGAGAGATTAGTAGTGACTGACAAATGTAACGCACCTTCCCCCACGAAGCTGACAGGTACGACCCACGGCGCCAAGAGAGGAAGGAGTCCGTCTCCCAGCGCCGATCGGAACTGCTGCAGAAAAACGCGGACCAACATGGAAAAGATAGGTACAGGCACCTACTTACCTATCTACCAACCTGCCTGCGTGCCTGCCTACTGAGTAATTCCTACCTAGGTACCTAGGTAGGTACCTTGGGCAGAGTATCGGTAGGTTGGAAGGTAGGTTGGAAGGTAGGTAGGTAGGTAGGTAGGTGCACGGCAACCTTCCCGTCGTCTCCTTCCTTTCGTCCCATCAGGCTTGCCGGTGACGACTCTCCCTACTTCCCTGATGGCTTCTTCCCTTCCACCGTCAAAGCTGTGTGTAGGTACGGATGAATACGTACTGCTCCGGTGTACAAATACATAGGTAATGAATCGAAATATGCCGACGCGGTCGACCTGTCAAGCCCAGATCAACAGGCGGCGGGGCTCTTTTCACCATACCGTACAGTACATACCTATCCGTAGCTTACCCCAGTACCTGTATTACTCCGTAGTTCGCGCGCGGGTCTGAGTTAAGCGTTTGCTAGTTTAGGTAAGCTGCCTCCAAACATGACCCAAGGATGAATCAGCAACACGCAGATGGCAGATGGAGGCCAAGGCGCCACCCGTTGCCCATCGCCGCAATTGGCTCCTGCTCCCGGAGAGTCTGCCCTTCTCTGACTCGCGCAAGCTCGTCCTGCGATCTACCTAGTTTGTTACCTATGGTAGAGTAGGAAGGAACCTACCTGCCCAACGAGTCATCACTCGATGCATTCATTATCTTGGTACGCCGTGGGGCAATATGCAAAGTTGCATCATCAGGATGAGGAAACGAGCCCCATTGAGACGACAATGGCACATAGTGCTTACGTCCAGGTATGTCTATGTCGGTTGACGCAGAAACAACCTACCTACCCAAACAGACTCTTCCATACCCCGCTGCATTGGTGGTATAAGTCAGAAAAGCTCCTCCAAGCATCAGCATTGAGAGGATCTTGACCTGATACCCACCTTTCGGTTGGCCCATCTTAGGCTAATCTGGGCCTCCTCGTTCCCAGGATGACTTCATCAGGCTGTCGATCTTGCTTAAGGATTCACAGGCAAGCCCGGCATTTTCATTGTCGGTGCACCGTGTGCTGCAAATCTTCACTTGTAGTAGGCCAAGATTGACGGCTTATTTACAGGGAGGAGCATGTACGATCCATCCACGGTGAGAAAATTCTTGCTTTCAATTCTAAACTAGGCGGCACGCAATATATCTCCTAACATCATCCTCAGGCCTTTAGACTCCGCGACGTCTTCAACTGGAAGATCTTTGCTAGAGTCAGACACATCGAGCCGACCGTCAAAGCCGCCGCTCCGTACCCGATCATGGACTGCCACGCCACCTCGCCGTAGTCGCCCAGAATGGCACCGGCAATCGGCGTGCCGACGAGGATAGCGATGCCCGCGATGAAATTCATCATGCCCATGCGCGTCCCCACGCGGCCCAGATCCGGCGACAGGCTGACAACGACAGTCGGCGAGATGCTCACCAGCCCGCCGGAGAAGAGGCCGTACAGGATAGCGAAGACGATGAGGCCCGCCATGTTGCGAATCCCCAGCCACGCGAACATGAGAACCGCCGAGCCCGCGGCGACGGAGATGTGCATGTACAGCGCGCCGACCTTGTCTGCCAGATAGTTGGGTATCACACGCCCCGGGATGCTGCCGGCGCTGAGCAGCGTGACAAAGTAGGCCGAAAAGTCGGACGGGCCAATGTCATGGTTGACGGCGAAGAGCTGGATGTAAAAGTACGGCACGTACATGGCCAGGAACGCGATGAAGGAACCCGCCACGACGAGCATGAAGGCCGGGTCGCGCAAGGCTGTTTGGTCGACGAGCGAGCGTTTGCGGCCCGAGGGCGGGAGGCGGGTGTGCATCGTGACGGCAGGGATGATGGAGAGGCCCAGCAGGATGAAGGCGATGATGCGGGTGGCCCAGCCGAAGCCGATCTTGGGCTCGAGGTGGCCGAAGAGGATCGGGAAGGTCATGCCCGCGATGGGCGACCCCGTCGCCGAGATGCCGATGACGAGGGCGCGTCGCTTGTCAAAGTACTGGCTGAGGATCGCCGTGGAGGGGAGGAAGACCAGGCCACAGCCGAGGCCGACGCACACGCCCTGCGCGAGGAGGACCTCCCAGTAGGTGGTGCAGAGGGACGTCATGAACATGCCCAAGAGGATCAAGAAGATGCCGGCCCAGAGAAGTTCGCGGAAATAGCCAGCGTCGTAAAGCGGTCCGGAGATGGGCCCGACCATCATCAGAAGAGCGCCCTGCAGGGAGCCGATCCAGGAGATTGCCGAGGGGGCGACGTCATGGAGGGTGCGCTCGTAGTAGGTCTGGTAGACGCCGAAGGTGTTGACGAGGCCCCAGGTTTGCGCGAGGATGACCCAGGAGCCGAGGACCTGGAGCCAAGCCTCAAGGCCGCCGTCGGGAACGGGGCCCGGAGCCGAGGGTTTTGACGGTGGTTGTGCGGCGTCGGTGGCGGCTCGAGTTTCCAGGTCGACAGCGGCGGAGGCGAGGGATGTTTCGGAGGGCGTGCCTGAGCGGAAGCCCGGGGCCGAGCCGGATGTCTCGCCCGCGACGGAGGTTCGGGCCGTCATAATGCAAGTTCGTGGGATTGTACGGCCTTGCTGGCTACAAGGGGCTCCCCGTCGTCGGTGATAATATCTTTTTTTTTGTTGGCTTCCAAATCTACCTCTCGTCCCAGCGACGTCAAAGTAGCAAGCTTCGATTGGAGTAACTCTTAAGGGTCAGAAATTGCTGCGCAATGAACGAAGGAGAAGAAGAATTAGACATTAAGTATCGTCCGTCATGAAAATCCTGAGAGGGGAACGAAGTCTCGTTTCTCAAGCAGCAGAACCGAGCACTCCAGGATGACTTGGACTAGAAAAGAGCGGAATGGTTCCAGAAACCCACCGGGAACGACGACGGCTCAGGGTGTGGACGACCCCCCGGATATAAGAAGCGGGCGAGCGCATCCACGATGGACGGTGAAGAGGCTGAGGATGAATGACCCAGATTGCACCACCGGGGCCCACTCTTTCGCACCCCTATCTATATCCCAGCTTGGAGGACACGAGCAAGAAACACTGGAGGAGGGAACGAGAGAAAAGTTCTTTCGCGGATCCGTCTGCTTATCAGAGGGGAGGGATCCGCCACGTAACTGAGCCCGATAGGGCGGGCAGGTGGGCGGGACGGTTACGTAGGTGGGAATCCAAAGGACACTGCCGCTTGGTGTGCCCGAATCACTTCTGATCCCATCGGGATGGTTGAATTTGCTTCTGCTTGTGGGCGACGAGTAAAGCGTTAGCGCATTTGAGTGGGGGTGGTTCAACGGCATGCGGCGTACGAACGACGTCAGCCGGGTGTTTCCGCGGCGGTGATGCTCGCGATGCGCGCAACGCTAGTCAGAAGGCGTCCGACACAGAAGCCGCAACGGCCGGGAAAGCGCTGTTGACGGATAGAAAGAGAGAGAGAGAAAGAGGGACGGAGAGAAAGGCCACGAGATGCGCGCGCGCTCGACAGAGTAGGATTGCCGATGTCAACTCCCGCGCTGGAGTAAGCTCCCCGCCATTATTCATTTCGAGGGCGGAGTGGACCGATTGTTTGTCGTTGACGACAATAGCGGCCCGAATCTGGGCTCATGGAAGGGGGTAATATACGAGTAAGCGTGTCTTGCGAGATTCGCCGAGGACGGGGTCCACTCCGAGGCAAAACTGGCTGCTAGCTTACGCAGTAATTAGCTTGTTAGACGCGATGGGGAGATAAGGTCTTCGGGCGTTGTCCGTGTTGGTATCTGGTTTTTTCTTTTCTTTTCTTTTTTTGCTGACCCACGTGTTGAATCAGGAGTCATCTTGGACAGAAAATCTGTGGGAAAGAGAGAGAGAGAGAGAAGGGGACGAAAGCCAGCAAGTTATCTCGAGTATTGTTTCTCGATAGGTCCAGCAAGGTGACTGTGGAACGAGATCTAAGGACCGACCAGGGTGACGGGCTGTCGATCCCGAGAGTCGAACCATAACTTAATTATTTTTGTGCCATTGTGTCGGTGTCACTCGGTTTACCAGGTACGTAAGGTGATTTCAAGCATTGAGTGTGGGCGTGTGATACGACAAAAGGTCTTATTATAGCTTTCTAGCCAATTAATCATCAACAGGCAACTTGGCCGAGCGGTCTAAGGCGCCAGACTCAAGCGTAAGCTTCATCCGTCTCAGCGGATGAGTATTCTGGTCTCGCAAGAGGCGTGAGTTCGAATCTCACAGTTGTCAGTTTTCATTTTGGTCACAGTGGTAAAAACAGCCTTTCTCTTTTCATTGGGCAGGCATTCCGGCAGGGTAGTTTTGCTGTGGCTTTTTTGTGTACATGTCATCGCAAGCCCAAACTCACAGCTGCAACACGCCACAAACACCGCCCGAAGACATCCCAAAAGCGTCTGAATGAATGCCTGCCTGTACATACATATACATACGTAGTTGTATGGCCCACGGTCCTAAACACACGGCCCTGCGCTCCGCCAACCTCAGACACGGGAGTGTCGGATCTCTCTAGATCACCACTGCCGCCAAGGCCCGCCGCCGCTCAATACCTAGTAGGGATCAGTTGTTGCTGTTTCACATCAACTCGTCCAGGCTCATGATGTTACCCTCCCGTTTTCACTGGCTCAGGTGGTTCGCCGTACTATGCCCTCTACGCAACACGGGGGCTCCTGTTTACTGTTCTTTGCATATACTTGCGATTGATTGTTTAATTGATCTGAAGCGCGGCTGGTTCGCATTTCGCTCTTCCTTCCTTTTTGCTTTGAACGAAGAATCGTAGTGTGAAAGTCGAAGCAAGGACTTGTTGGTTTTGATAGCCAATCATTCCCATCTCAAACCACACGTTCCGAGGCACAGAGCCGACGCCATGAAGCCTGGTACCACGCCGTACTCCGACGTCCACCCCGAGGGCGAACTCCGCGATGATTCCTCCATGACCGACGTCAGCGTGTCGCTCCTCAGCGACGACGGCGAAGGCAAGCAGTGGAACCGGGCAGACGTCGAGCATGGAAGACGGACGACGCAGCCGAGCAAATGCGCGAGGGCCCTCGACTTCTTTCGTCGCTGGCGCTGGCTCGTCGATACCCTTATGCTGTTGGTCATCATCGGTTTACTTCTCGAGCGGAGGGCGCGCCTGGAGACAACAGCACTCCGCGACAAGCGTCTTGAACCTGTGGGAGACCTCACAGGCTTCGCACCAGAATGTGAGTAACGTGTTCCCCTGTACCCGGTCGACCGCGGAAACAGGCTTGCTTACACGGCGGCGCACAGTCACCCAGCAGATCACAACGTTCCACCCGACGACCGAGTTCGTCCCCGACGACCCGAAAAAGTTCTTCACCAACGCCTCGATCCAGGAGAACTGGCTCTCCATCGTCCCCCGGGGCCTGGGCTACGTCGTCATGAACGACACAAAGGCCCACGACAACCTGCCCGTTCCGCTGCCCGAGTTCGCGCCGCGTACAGTCTTCACGACGTCCATGACGCACCAGCTGCACTGTCTCTACGCGATCCTCGAGAGCTACGCGGGGCTCGCCGTCAACGGCAGCGCCGCCGTCGACATGCACTCGCACATCCCCGAGGGCGCCCAGGGCTCCGAGGCGCCGTGGCATCTGCAGCACTGCTTCGAGTATCTCCGACAGGTGAGTGTCTGCGATGGAGTTTCTCATCGAGTCGGTTCCCATGAAGCTGACACATCCATCTCCCCTCCCGTAGGCCATCATGTGCGCAGGCGATGTTGCGCTAGAGGGCACGCAGACGACGTTCCCCCCGGGTTGGACTGGTAGCGACGGTTGGGACGCGAAGCACGTTTGCAAAGACTACAAGCAGGTCTACGATTACCTCGACAAGAACCGGGCTCTGGATGATCACTGGATCTAAGCAAGGCCGGAGGTGTTTGTAATTTTGGTTATGGCGTTTAGGAAGGGTATATCCATTGCGCACTAGGGGAAACTGCCATTCGTTGGCAAAATGAGAACAATACTGCCTGCCCATGTATGTGATGAGAGATTTCGCACAGAGCCGTATCCTTCAAGGCCTACCTGATTCACCCCGATGCCCCTGACAACCGATGAAACGCAAGTCTCTGTATATCTGGTTCTGAGCCTACCGAAATCGACAAGAAGCCAAGTCTCTTTGGAAAGTTGACATGCTATACCACATAAACCAGCAAACAACCGCCCCTTGGTGAACTAATCAACTCTTGAGATTCTTCCCATCACCCTTCCCGGAACAAGTGTCCGCCGTTGAACCGGCCGGTGTAATCCCGCTTCGGCGATTCGCCCACTGCCGGATTTGCCCCACTCCTCCACGAAAACACGTGCCTTCGCGGCGGCGCCAAACCGGACCCCTGTTCCCCCCAAAAAAGTTTCGCTGGATGAGAGAGATGGAAAAAAAGAGTGCCCCGTATCAGACCATTGTGTCCCCAATGGATCCCGGCTCCCTTTTCTTGTGATCCCACCCATTCATTTCCCATTTCTCTTTGACTTCGTTTCTGGTCCGCGAAACATTGGTCACGATGAGGGCTCCGAGGGCCGTCAGAGTGCCGAATGGCGGGCTTTTCACCGGCGCAAGGCCCCTAGGCCGGCATGCGCGACACTTTGGCTTCGCCGCCAGCCTCAGACCTTCGACAAGAACCCCTTGGATGACGACGCCTGCGACGTTGAAGATCGAGCAGACCACTAGACGTACCCTCACGACGACCAACGCTGTCAGGTCCGCCGCGGCCGCCGCCGAGGCCCTGAAGCTGGCGCAGGACAACGCCTCCGCCCTCACCCCCGAGCTCGTCGCCGCCAAGATGAACCCCGAGGAGGCGCACCGCCTGTCGCGCGTGCGCAACATCGGTATCGCCGCCCACATTGACAGCGGAAAGACAACGGCCACCGAGCGAGTGTTGTTCTACTCGGGTCGCATCAAGGCGATCCACGAGGTCCGCGGCAAGGACTCTGTCGGCGCCAAGATGGACTCGATGGAGCTCGAAAGAGAAAAGGGCATCACCATCCAGTCGGCGGCCACCTTCGCCGACTGGAAGAAGACGGAGAACGGGAAGGAGGAGACCTACCACATCAACATCATCGACACCCCCGGCCACATCGACTTCACCATCGAGGTCGAGCGAGCCCTGCGCGTCCTCGACGGCGCCGTCATGATCCTGTGCGCCGTCTCCGGCGTCCAGAGTCAGACCATCACCGTCGACCGTCAGATGAAGCGCTACAACGTCCCCCGCATCAGCTTCGTGAACAAGATGGACCGCATGGGCGCCAACCCCTGGAAGGCCGTCGAGCAGATCAACAAGAAGCTCAAGATCCCCGCCGCCGCCATCCAGGTCCCCATCGGAGCCGAGAACGAGTTCGAGGGCGTCATCGACCTGATTGAGAAGAGGGCCTACTATTTCGAGGGCCCCCGCGGCACCGTCGTCAAGACCACCGACGTCCTCCCCGGCGGCTACCACGATCTCGTCGAGGAGAAGCGCCAGGAGCTCATCGAGAAGCTCGCCGACGTCGACGACGAGATGGCCGAGATGTTCCTCGAGGAGCAGGTCCCGACCAACGCCCAGATCAAGGCCGCCATCCGCCGTTCCACCATCGCCCTCAAGTTCTCCCCCGTCATGATGGGCTCCGCCCTCGCCGACAAGGGCATCCAGCCCGTGCTCGACGCCGTTTGCGACTACCTCCCGAACCCTGGCGAGGTCGAGAACAAGGCGCTCGACAAGAAGCGCGACGAAGCCACCGTCAAGCTGGTGCCATACAACTCGCTCCCCTTCGTCGGCCTCGCCTTCAAGCTCGAGGAGAACAACTACGGCCAGCTCACCTACATCCGCGTCTACCAGGGCAAGCTCCGCAAGGGCACCTACCTCTTCAACTCTCGCACCGACAAGAAGGTCCGCATCCCCCGCATCGTGCGCATGCACTCCAACGAGATGGAGGACGTCAACGAGGTCGGCGCCGGCGAGATCTGCGCCGTCTTCGGCGTCGACTGCGCCTCGGGCGACACCTTCACCGACGGCAACCTGCCCTACACCATGTCCTCCATGTTCGTCCCCGACGCCGTCATGTCGCTGTCCATCAAGCCCAAGCGCACCAGCGACGCCGACAACTTCTCAAAGGCCATGAACCGCTTCCAGCGCGAGGACCCGACCTTCCGCCTGCACGTCGACGAGGAGTCGGAGGAGACCATCATCTCGGGCATGGGCGAGCTCCACCTCGAGATCTACGTCGAGCGCCTCCGCCGCGAGTACAAGGTCGACTGCGAGACCGGCAAGCCCCGCGTCTCATACCGCGAGACCATCTCCCACAAGACCCCGTACGACTTCCTCCTCAAGCGCCAGAGCGGCGGCCCCGGCGACTACGCCCGCGTCGCCGGCTGGATCGAGCCCTACTCGGACCCGGAGAAGAACCTCTTCGAGACCCAGGTCGTCGGCGGCACCATCCCCGACAAGTACATCACCGCCTGCGCCAAGGGCTTCGACGAGGCCACCAACAAGGGCCCGCTCCTCGGCCACAGGGTCATCGGCACCAAGATGGTCATCAACGACGGCGCCACCCACGTCACCGACTCGTCCGACTTCGCCTTCAACCTGGCCACCCAGATGGCCTTCCGCAAGGCCTTTGGCGAGGCCGGCGGCCAGGTCCTCGAGCCCCTCATGAAGACCACCATCACGGCCCCCAACGAGTTCCAGGGCAACATCATCATGCTCATGAACAAGCGCAACGCCACCATCCACGACACAGAGGTTGGCGTCGAGGACTTCACCCTCATTTGCGACTGCAGTCTCAACGCCATGTTCGGCTTCAGCTCCCAGCTCCGCGCCGCCACCCAGGGCAAGGGCGAGTTCAACATGGAGTTCAGCCACTACGCCCCCGCCCCCCCTCACCTCCAGTACGTCTCCGCTTCCTCCTTTTCCGTGATGTGTTTCCTTGTCCCCTTTTACTAACAAACCTTACAGGAAGGAGCTGTGTGCCGCCTACGAGAAGGAGCTGGATGCCAAGCGCACCAAATAAGCCACGAAAAGCAGCCCCCCCCTTTTTGCAGAGAGTGGGTCAGTAGGGGGAAGGCCAAAAACAAAGGGTCCTTTTCTTCGTACACCAAAAACCGTGGCACAAGCTATGGCGCCGAGTGTCGTGTATCAACACTGAGCCGCCCCGTCCGAGGCGAGACGGGCCGTGGTCGTACGCCGCCTACTTGGGCAGTCGTATTATGTACATGTATATCTAATGTCATGTCTAGGATTTGCT